CTATTTTTAGTCTTAGGCTCCATTTAATATATTTCTCAATAGAATAAAAACCCTAATAAATGAGGAAACAGAAGACAGCACACCTTGCTAAACCCTTAAGTAGTAAAAAAATACTAGCACAGAAATATGAGCAAATCTGCTTCCTTTGAAATAAGCTTTTCACACACATTTTAAAATTGTGTATATTTTTAAATGGTTAGCAGATATCCTAACCAGAGATCCAACTGGCCAGGCAAGCCAATTTTCCTTTGAAGAAAATGCAGTGTTTTGCTAGATTAAAATGCATTGATCAAGCAAATTTTCCTTGATTTTTGAGAGTCTGTTCTTAGGTCTGTGAGTGATGGGCATTAATTCAATTAACTGGTGTGCCTTGAAGTAATAAAAAGCCGCCCTCCTATGCATATACCTAAGGACATTATATCTTCCACTTGTTTCCTAACCAACCAGTGGCACATGCAGGTCTGTAAATGAAAGTAGAAGTTGATCTCTCATCACTCAGAAAGAAGAACCAATTACTTACTTCATCCTCCGTGCACTCTGATTCTGATTCACAGCTATCTTCATCTTCACTTTCGGGCAGCATCTGTAGGTCCAGTGTGGTAAATGGCCTCAGCTGTTCCTGTATGACAGAGTTGTTTCTCCCCCAAGTGAGCTGGTATGGAGAATAGCCCTGATAGGTGACTTTGTTTGCATCTGCGCCATGTTTTAACAGGAGTGACACCAGTTCTTCATTCTGCAGATCTACAGCCAAATGCAAGGCCGTTCTACCATTGCATGGTTCCTGTTTATTGAGGGGGCAAAAAAGGGCCATTTGGTTAGTGCTGGCAAATGGTAAAGTGGTTCCTTTTCATATCATACAATCAGGTTTTCTTATTTGCAACTACTGATGCCCACCTTAGCATCGACATCCACTCCTAAGGACAGGAGACATTCAACAATGGCCAGATACCCTTGAACAGATGCCAAATGGAGACAGGTGTGTCCTGTGAAGCAAGCACAAAACAGAGAAAACCTAAATACACTGGCAGAAACACATGATCATTCAATGCAAAGGAAAACTACTACTGGCTGAATGTGTGCTATGATCGTCTTTCCACACAAACAAGCAGCCAACCAACAGCCAACCAACCAGCTCACTGAAAAACAAGGTAACAGGGCAAGGCCACTGGCTGGAGCACTCAATGAGCTGGCAGAAGCCTGTTCTAACTGTAGAAAGCTATTTGTCAAGGCAGTGCCCATGCTTACCATTGTAGTTGCGCAAGTGGAGGAGGGAGCTGAGGTGGTGAGGAGAGGAGTACTGTGTGAGAACACCAACACCCCTCAGAGATCCCTGTTCACAAGCGATATGCAGAGGTGTGTTTCCTCGGAAGTCCCGGATCTCTGGGTTACAGCTGGCTTTCAGAAGAGCCTCAGCAATTTCTGGCTGATCTGTGATCATGGCCAAGTGAAGTGGAGTCTACAAAATGAAAGCAAGAAAGAACTGTCATTTGTGAGGCAAGCAAGGAAATCCCCTGTAGACATACATCTGGAGCCCAAGAGCCCTCTTTCACTCACTTCCTGACTTCCTTCCTCCTTGCTGCTTCTACAGGTGTTCCCATGTACGTATGTTCAGGACTAGCTGCTTTAATGCATGCCTTAAACATTCCTAACTTTTTCCAATGTCCAGAATTAATCAAGCCACACTGCAGGCTCCAGTTTATTAGGATGGTGTGCTTATACAACTAAGGATTTTCACATGCTGCCGCCAAGCTCCTCAGGAGTCCTCTGCCAGGGGAATATAGCATCCATATTGCAGGATGGGACATTTGTTGGTATTGGGGGGTTGCTGGCAAATGCCCAAATTTAACCAGTTATGAAGAATCTCACTTCTGTATATCACAGTGCCTGATTTTAGGCTACTGAAGGGCATGAGGCAGACCCCGAACAGATTCTGTTAAAAGTGCAGCCACCCTAGGGTGATGGTGAATGGGGCACAACTGTAACAGCAGACAATTCATTTGTATGGCAAAAATGGGCTAATGCTAAGAAACAATGTTGTAGACCGTTTGCAGCTCTTGCATTAAATGTGATCCTGTATTTATAATCCAGCTTTATAAGTCTGTTGTAGGAAGTTCTCAAGTCTGCCTGTAACATCTTGCTTGACATTCAGTATATACCTCACCTCAGGCAAGCTCAAGGTGACTAATTTTTTTAAAAAAATGTAATTTAAGTACCTGGCCTAGCTTATTCTGGAAATTCAGGAAGACTCTGTCACATCCTGTCTGGCGAACAATTTCCAAACTCAGAGGCTTTTCTTCATGAATAATAGCCAGATGGAGAAATCTGCACAAGAAAAGAGATGGGAAAACCCAATGATGATTATGACAATCAGCAAAAAAAAAAAAAAAAACCCACCACCACCATTTGTTCCTCTGGAGTCAGGAAGGAGGAACTTGTGTATCAGCTAGAAGCGATTTCGAAAGCCTGGGGTTTTCGGGCCGCGTGCTGCTGCCGCCTGGTATTTTCCGCAGTGTTGCTCGGCGCTGAGTGTTCCGGGCAGCGCGCCAGGGACTTTCCAGCGCGCTTCCCCCTCCGCCCTGCTCGGCGCCGCACACCCCGAGGCCCCGCCCACCACAGCCAAAAACACCCGGCCTTTGCCCCTCCGCCGTTGGCAGGCCGCCAAAGAGGGAGGAGGGAAAAACCCAGCCTCGCAAAAATCCCCGTGCTTTATGTAACCAGCCATCAAAGGCGCCCCCCTCCCCCAGCAACTCCAGAGCGCCTACGTGCCTTTAAATTTTTTATTTGCTCTAAGGACGTATAGATACGCCGCCTTCTCAATTCGTGTGGAGAGGTTTGCTAATAATGAAACATCGCAATCCTAGGCAGAGTTCCTTCAGTCTGAACCCACCGAAATTAATGTTTCGGAGGTCATTAATTCACAGGGTCGCCGTAAATCGGAAGCGACTTGAGGGCACATCACACACACAGATTTCACATAGGATGGTACTGAAAAACCAACTAAGGCTCAAAGTAGACTTCGGGCAATCCGTGCTCGATGAAGCACGTATTTAGGAACCGGCAACATTTTAAAAAAACCAAGAACCATTTTTAAAATCGAGTTTGGCTGCTGAACGACCAGCCAGGACTACGATGGGGCAATACCCGAGGACAGAACAATATTCCTGCAGACGCTACAATGCACCCCCCCCCCAAAAAAAAATCCAGTAGAATTTGTTTGCACTTCTTTTTCTTACACACAACCCCGGTAATGCTAGCTTTTTAAAAAAATCCCTTTTAAGAACACACACACCCGTTTTAAAATTAGATGGCGTCTTTTTAAAACGCAACCGATCACCTTCTTCCTTCCATCGCCCAACTCGTTTCCAAAAAGAAACGAGAAGCGACCAGCCTTGGAAGAGTGTTCCCTTGATTCCCGAGGGGTTTGGCTTCCCAAGTAAACGCGGCCAATTTGGGAAGTCGAAAGGAAAAGGTCCCGATCCGACCCTCTGGTCTTGACAAATTCCACCCCCAAGTCCGTGAGACTTACGTGTCTCCGTCTTCAGTCACTTGCTGCTTCCAAGCCTGGCCCGGCTGGCAGGGAGCGCTCTGCAGGGCCGTACAGGCTTCCTTGGGCTGGACGCGGATGTCTTCCAGGTCCCGGACGAGCTGGTCGTACTCCTCGTCCTTCATGGAGTCCAAGCCGCTGTCGTGGCGATCGTCCTGGACCAGGCTGAGCTGCCGGTCCTTCTTCAGCAGATCCCGAGGATGGTCGTCCATTGTATAATCCATTGGATAATCCACAGTGCGGGCGGTAAACATGGCACCGTCGGTTTGCGCTAGAGCCAGCGAGCCTAGAGGAGTGACTAGATCCCGGCGTTCTTCGGCTGCTACGCGCGAGGTGTGGTGAGAAGCGCTGCCGGGCGGCGCTGGCCTATACAGCCTCGGCCGAGGGGATTTCTGCGCGGGGCGGAGCTTGGGGCGGCTGGGAATTTCCCAGCCAAGTCAAACAGAGAGGGCGCGAACGAGTTTGGTCCTGTCCTGAAGGGAGCCGAGGCTGGCGCTGAGGAATTCCCTGCCTCAGTCACTCTCTGGAAACTTTTGGCGTTTTCCACAGAAGGGAAAGTACTTTTGACTCTGCACTCAGTGACTGAGGCGGCTCCCCTTCCACCTATTGAGCTACTCGCTTGCGCACGGCCAAGCCCTTTCAAGGCCACCGCGGCCCTTTTTGGGAATTCCCTTCCTTTCCTGCCTTGTAATGCTTTCTGTACTCAAAATGCCCTGGCGATGGGGAGTGGGAAGACGTTTATTCTCAGAGCAGGTGGGCTGCACATTCAGTCAATCCGACTTGCTTTTTCTGTGGGGGGATGGGCTTGCATATGGTGAGATGCCAGAAGGGGGACCCCCCTCCCCCGCATGCACAGCCATTGAGGCCTAGTCCTCTCCTGTGGGTATTATTTTTCTGCGGTAGTAGAGTGGGCGGTAGCACTTAAGACACAGGTGGGAGCTTTTTCTCTAGGTATAAGACTCACACACAGCCTTACCTCCCTTTAGGGTTACCAGGTCTGGGTTGGAAATTACCTGGAGACTTTGGGGGTGGATCCAGGAGAGAGTGGGTTTTGGGGAGGGGAGAGGCCTCAGCATGGTACAGTGCCATAGAGTCCACCCTTCAAAGCAGCTATTTTCTCCAGGGGAGCTGATCTCTGTCATCTGAAGATCAGTTGTAAAAGCGGAAGATCCCCAGGCCCCACCTGGAGGCTGGAAACCCTACATCCCTTTTATGTTGTTAGGCTGTGTTTACTTACTTTACTGACTGTGTTTGCTTACTTTCTTTACACGGGAGTATTCAAAAATGACACACACACCCCCCACACCCCTGCAGCCTCCAGTTCATGCCACCTCAAGATTCTCCAGCCTCATTTAGCCCCAATGGCGAAACAAAGCATACCGGAATGAAACTATGATTGCATTCAGCTAGTAGTCTTTTTGCAGGAAATTCTGGACTAAATTTATAGTCCTGTCCTGGTCCACAGAAGGTGGGAGAGTGTTGAATAAAAACATAAGGTGAAAGCTAATGTTTTACTATGTAAATGAGAGGGGAAAACCCCTGGAAGTAGAAAATTAGCATAGCAAGCTGGAGTCTTTCTTTCCTGCTTTTTACTTGCAGGGAGATAATTTTTTTTACATGGGGGAAGCATTAAAAATGGCACCTCACCAAAAATCTGAAGTAGGTCATGTCCACTTTACTACCTCAGGAGTCTACCATGTTTTTTGCTGGGTGTGTAAACTAGGCCTTATGCATGTGTACTCAGGACAGATTCAATGTGCTATATTGGAAATCAGTGGGTTTAGAAGAGTGTAGCTCTGCTTAGAATTGCACTTGCTAGGGTAGATTCAGGTGAGTAGCCATGTTGGTCTGAAGAAGTGTGCATGCACATGAAAGCTTATACCCAGAATAAAACTGTGTTAGTCTTAAAGGTGCCACTGGATTCAAACTTTGCTCACTTGCTAGGGTTGTTTTTTTTCTTGTGAGATTCGTTGTGTTCACAGCTGGAAGACAGGTACAAATGCAGCGGGTGAATAATTTCTTGTTAAATTTAATGCAGATGATAATACTATAGGAATACTGCTTGAAAACAATAGCCAGTATCTGACCATTTGGATATTACTTTTATTTTCTGCTCTGGAAATCCATTTCTTGGAAGATGGGCTGCCCCAGTGACTTTCAGAGTGCATCCTGGATCCTCAAGGATTCGTGATGGTTTTTCAGAAGCTCCCTGCGGGAATGCCACTAATAGCAGACCAGCTTCCCTGAAAGAGGGCATGTTTACCATCTTTCCATGCAATGGAAATACAGTATTTGAATATATTCTAGCACATGCTGTTTTGGGAAACCAAACCTAGCAGATTAATTATGGAACCTAATGGAGATGCGTCAAAAATCCAATGGATTATCCAGAAACCTGGAGAATCTGGAATTTACTGGCCTTTCGGATCACAGTAGCAAAAGTGCACGGTTTCAGTCCAGTAAAACACTGGGTGGATGTTAACTTGGGGAAAGGCTGGTCCTGGGTGGCAGAGCACCTGCTTTGTATGCAGAAGGCTGCAGATTCAATCTCTGATGTTTCCAGGTAAAAGGTCTTAGTTAGCAGGTTTTGGGGGAAACCATTTGTCTGCCCCAGAACCTTGAGAGCAGCCATCAATCAGAGATGATAATGCTAAGTTAGATGGGGTTTGACGTAGTACGAGGCAGCTTAATATTTTCTGCTCAGAGAGGGAGAGTAAAGCCTCTTTCTTGTGGACTACTTGCACAATTCCCCCCCATTGCCTCCATTTCTCCCCATGCTACCAAAGGGTTTTGGGGGGCCCTGACCTTGGTGGCCCAGGCAGTCCTATCTCACCAGATCTCAGAAGCTAAACCGGATTGGCCCTGGTTAGTACTTGAATGGGGGACCACTAAGGAAGTCCAGGGTTGCTGTGCAGAGGCAGGCAATGGCAAATCACTTCTGTCCATCTCTTGCCTTGAAAACTCTGTGGGGTTGCCATAAATTGGCTGTGACTTGAGTTGACAGCATTTTCCAGTACCATTTCCACGCAGTGGTTTTTCTACTTGCTCTTGGGAATTCAGAGGCATTTGCAGTGGAAGGAAAGCAGCCATGCAGCAGTTTTCTATGCACTTTCCTTTCTCAACCTGCCGCCCCCCCCATTGCCTCAGACTCCCCTTATGCTACCAAAGGGCTAGGTTCACTATAGCACCTGGCCACTGTGTGATACAGAGTGTTGGACCGGATGGGCCTTTGGCCTGATCCCACATTGGCATCTCTTATGTTCTTATAGCACCCTAATGTTATCATCATTTATTGTCACAACTGACAATCTTCTCTGAATTCCTAGCTTTTGTTTTTTAAAAAAGTAAATCTTTATCTCATTTTATTCCAAGCACACCAAAAAAGGCCAGACATTTTAAATTTGAAAAATTAATTAAAAAAATGAAAACAGGAAATTCAGAGGATCATGGATTCAACAGGTCATTATAGTGTTATTGCATTATCACAAATTGGCAACTGTTGATTTAAAGAAGAGAGCCCCAAAAGGCTCAGAGGAGAGCTAAGGCAAGGAAACATGGGGGGGGGACTTTAAAAAATGCACACCTTCCCATTCACATGGCATATGTTGGTGCTTGGTTTGCAGTCTCCCCAAAAATATCAAACTGGGTTTTAGAAAGATCAGTTCAGAGCAGGGGGGAACCCAGAACATGGACAGTTAGAGGGTGATGCTATGTGGATGCTCGAAGAATACCCACTCCTGTTTGGATGCTAAATCACAGCAAAACCTGTTTGTGGAAGAAAGTGTGGCCGTGGCCCTCAATCTTAGCTACACACTCCAGCATCAGCTATAGAGAGAACAGGAAATTGTAATCTAGGCACCTTTTTGCCCCTGAACAATGTGTGTGTGCGAGATCGGTGGGTGGGTGGTGGTAATAGTAGTATTGTTGTTATAGTCAGTATATTATACTGAGGATAATTTCTTTCCATTCCTATGCTCTAACAATGAATTATCTATGGTATATTGTAAGCATTTGCAATTTGCATCAACACCTTGATAGCTTTCCTCATTGCTGCTACAGTTGTGGATAGAGCATAGCAGCAATAGGGTTTCCAGACAGAAGATTTCCATGCATTTTTCCTGCCCCTGGGCAGTGTCCAAAAAAGCTATTAGGGGCTTTTTCAGGTTTTTTAAATTGGCAAAAGGTTTTTAAAAAAGCTTTAAAGCTGCAAGACTCCTTGAGATGCAGGCCTTATGCGAGGGATGGAAGTAGATGTGGTTGTCTCGGTTGAATGAAATTGCAAAAGTGGTTCTCTGTGAGCTGCAAAATGAGTTCCACTGCATTATATAAGTTCCCTAAATTTCCAGCTTTCATTGTTTAAAAAGTAAGTAGCCTCCTTCCATTGCAGAGATATAAAGGGAAATACATATTTCCATAATGATTGGAGCTAGAGGGGTTTTTTAAAATGAAAGCTGGGAGTATAGAGAATCTTCTAGACCGTTATAATAGTATAATGCTCCCCAACTGCATTAAAAAAAAAATAGCACTCCAGTGGCTGGGACGAAATGGCTGATGCAGGGGACTGGGGCAAGGAAAATGGCACCAATGTGAGTGGGCTGGGAAGATTCAAACTTTCTCTCCCACATGGGACCCTGATTTTGCTGTCATGCAGCAAAGAAGGTTTGGCAAAGAGGGGAAAAACGCAGGGAGGCGCATGGAATCACCACAGTGCTGTGGGGAAATGGGAAAAAACCTGCTTCCCAATAGCATCCGGACCAGAGCATCCCCCCAAGTGACCCTCGTTGCCCAAAGCTTTCAGCAAAGTCTAAAAACTGGGGAAACCCAGCTGTTTGAATACCTTCCTCAAAGAAGGATACTTTATTTGCTAAACATCTGTAGTGACACCTAGTGGGCTTTTTTGGAATATAGCTTAATAAATCGGGGCATTTTAAATTTATACATGACTAGGAGTAAGGCTCGTTGTGGGATAAATACAACGAGCTCTAGAAGGAAGCTCTAGGTGAGTGTCCCGGCTATGGCTGGTGGGGCAGCAGAGGGAAGGGGAAAATTTCCTTTTGTTAGCTATAAGGCAGGGCTGTCTCAAGTCATTTTGCTGCTCCAAGTGGGTAGTATGGGAGGACAGCCTCATGGTAACAGGTACTGCTCCGTCCACCCCTTCCTTATGTTGATTTGCGGTTATGCACTGGCAGCTAAGGTAGAAAAGCATCTCCTCCTATGCCATGTCTTCTGGGTTCCAAGGGTCTAGAAAGTGGTTCCATAGCCAGTTACAGGGTTACCAACTCTAGGTTGGGAAATACCTGTAGATTTGAGGGGTAGAGCATGGGGAGGGAAGGGGTGGGGAGCAATGTTCACTCTAAGGTGTGCAGAATT